GAACACCGATTATCACGACGCGCAATGCCGACTAGTGATGGTTGGAAGAAAGTTGGGTGCGGCCAAACCAAAACGTGGCATCAGTCCTTGAAGTCACCAACTTCTAGTCTAAACCATGTTGGTAGATGCCGACTACTTGGTTGGGGTCCGCGTGACTATCGTAACCAATAATTGGAGACTGTGTGACGTGACTCAGAATCGATCACGATGGCGTCAGTGTATACGCTCTCGATCTTCCTTTAAACTAGGAGATTAAAATTGCTTCATATCTCTCTTTCTACCAACTAATTCTTCCTTCCTGTACTATGTTGTTATGTGCAATCTTTCTTTTACCACCACTGAATTAACTGTTTCTATAAATTTTGTGTTTATCTTGTTGTGCGAATGAGGTATGGCAACGTGGACCAATACATATATGTGCCTGGTTCTATGTTGTATCTGACTGACTGACTCACATCTACTCCGCAAAACGATCTTATCTAAGTCGTGAAATCAATGTGACAGACAAAAAGATGTAGCAAACAAAATAAGGAATAAGATATAATACTAAATAAAAATATCCATAGGCTACTATTCTATATGCATCCAAATAGAATTTCTTTTTACCTCCAAGCCTTTTAACTAGCAAACTAATAATGAACCATAAATAAAATTTTCCTATTTCCCAAATGATTAGTTAACTAAATCTGATTTTAATAATGCGAAAATTCCCATTTACAAATTTAGGGAAAAAAATGAATAGCCTAGAAAAATCTGTATTTTTCATATGAAAAAAAATATCTTTTTTTCTCTCCTTTATCTATTTTTCCCAAATTACTTGATTCAAGCTACGAGATTGAAAAGAGTTAAAGTTATTTTTTTAACTAAAACTTATATTTTCATCTTATAGACCCATTACATTATTGACATGTATAAAAGTGTTTTTGTTCCAAATATCTTTTCCATTTTGACTATATTATGTCCTACATAAGATACAAATTAAGAATTCCTTTTATGATCTACCAATAAGGTATTTGTATAAGTTATTTTCACTTTTTTTTGAAAAAAATCATTACATTTCACCGACAACATATCCTCACTGACTAGACTATATATGATGCGAACTTTCTCTGTATCGAGATGAGCAATTAGAAATGTTAATGATTCTAAAGAAAGAAAAATAAAAAGTTTTTGTTTGCTTAATTCACTGTCCCTTTTTAATGACAAAACATTCAGTTGTACAATCGAAAATTACAAATTACCTATAGAAAACTAATGGGAATAACTTTTTCTTTTTTAAAAAAAACTTTCCTTTTACAGTAAGGTAGTTTATCATGTATTATGTAATACACATTAAAACTAACATTGGTGCTAACAATTAAACACTGAAACATTTAATGTATTTAAACACAAAATATACGTGGAAAGTAAAATGAAATTTTGATAAAGGATTTCGAAAGACTATCGTTCATTTACCTTTAAACGATTCATAATATAATGGATTATCTGATGATGAGATATGAAAATGGAGTATTGTGTGTATATTTTCATAGTGAATATATAAATGAATTGGATGATTGTTAATATTAAACTATTAAAAGTAGTGAGTAGTAAATAAGTTTTATTATAAGTCGAATTTATACTCTTATTTACAATTTTATTAACGGATTTTTGAAATATGCTTTGGTTATCTAGTTGAATTGATTAGTTTTATATTAGAGGTAATCATATTAATGGCAAAAGAATGACAATACAATAAGACTACAGAGTGTTAATAATATTGCTACTATAATTTTGAAACAAGGAATAATAGAATCAAGGAGTAACCAAACACATTCATAGTTAAACAGTTTGTCACCTATTTTCATTTTTATGTTTAAATCCGTTAAATAACGAAAATAAAATATTCATAAACTATTAGTACATCTCAAATCTTTGTTAAGGTGTGGGGTTTCATCATCATTAATCTTAGATTGTGAGCCTGAATTGATCGGTATTATATAAACGTATTTCTACTACTGAGTATCAATTTAGAATTCAAATTAGTCTTTCTTCTCAGTACTCACTAATTAGAGCCTACCATTATTTTAATTTTTGATTCATTCAGGGGTATCAGTCAGCAAAATGCATTTCTGGTTTAGTCGTCACTAGGTATTTCAAAACATGATAAACCAGTTATTTAGTACTACGTGGTGCTTAATGGTCCTCCAGTTGATCTTTGACAGTGAAACTGCCTTCACACTGTAAACCATTTCTTTATACTGATTTTCTTCAGCATGAAATATGATACCATTTAAAGTGCTATTAGCAAATCAAATTCGACTACGAATAACTTTTTGTGGAAGAATTCTAACTGAAATTTATGTCGGTGTTATTATCATCACTAACTCCATAAATTACTAAAAACCTACAAGACGACAGTTATCTAAGTTCCCGTTTAAAATACAATCTCTAGATATGTAAATTTCAGTTAGCACACATGCACTAATTTAATACTACATTGGATCAACCTAATAATGAGTGAAAAGCATTTTGACATATACAATATTTTATTGAGATCACGAACCGACCTAATTTAGACAGCTGTTCGAAAGCATAAAATACTAGACTACTGTTTCGTCCTACAGTTTCGTCCAAAGTGAAGGGCCTAATACCAAGACGAAACAGATACTCAGTACTTCTTTTTTTCCATAGTAGCCTAACTTAAGTCGACCTGTTAATGCAGTAAGAAATAATGACTTTCACAAACCTCTATATTGATGCACTAAGTTAGCCGACTCATTGAAGAGTAGAACCTAAATCTTAGATTTCACGCAGCGTTACGAATTTCGGATCCACTTCAAACGATGATGAGGACATAACTGATTATTTTAATATTGTTTACTTGAAATAGATACTATAAGAACATGTCATTTAAATATTATTATGGTTAATTTATTTGAACTTTATTTCATATCATGGCTAAATTATCTTAAGTGATTACGGAGTATAACTTGGATGTGGTATACGTCATGAACTGAAATGTGATGAAAAGCCATTGAAAACTTAAGGAAGATGATGTTATTTTATTATACGAATCGCTTTCGGAATGAACGAAAATCTCATAAAAAAACTACTTTATTGAAAAGAAAATTTGTGAAATATTGTCCACTGAACTTAGACTATTCAACTCTAATTATCAAGTCTATAACACGAAACGTTTGTGTAAGTGATTTGACGTTATTTAGCACGACGTTATGACAGTTTAAGCAGTTCGAGACGATTGCTTGTTAAACAAAACAGGGTATTGTTGAAGCACTTAAAGTATATCTTCATGGCAAAGTACAAATTTCAAATTAAATAAACTAATATTAATTGCAATTTGGTGAATTGATTTCCGTAACTTTGTTAGATTACTGAGTTTATAGGTCAAGTAAATTTGATATTTTGTAAGTGTCAAACTCTTCAAATAATCTATACACAGAGCTTAAGAATCTTCGGTGAATGTTGTGAACAAAATCCCCGTTAACATGTCAGATGAAAATAGTGTGTTCTATATGTGTTTTTAATCAATAAATGATTTAAGATGACTCCCTTGTCATTTAATTGCATATATCCACCAATTTTCATTTCTGATTTAGCAACTTATCAAATATTTTAATGAGAACTACAAACGATCGTCTATTTTCAGAAAAAATTTAATCGATAAGTCTGTTCTAATAATTTTGTGTATCATGAGATAGATCAATACGATGTCAGAATTGTTTCTTGTTCCAAGTACTTTATGTTTTAAAAAATATGTGTTTTAGATGTTGCTTCTAGAAGAAATAATTCTAAAGATTTGACTGGGAAGTATGGATATACAGCATTTCAAATATCAAACCAATCAAATTACTAGCCAATTTTTTGAAAACAAGTAGTGGAAATATGAACAGAGGATAAGTTTTAAAAACCATTAAATCAGCTATATTGTTAAAAGAATACCCCTTAAATGTTATAAAGAAATGTAAATATAGAAATAATTACGTAAAATGTGAATTACTATGAATTATTAGACAAATTAACGAATTTGAAAATCTGTGACGAATCATGAATGTCAAAGATATTAATGATGTAAAATCTAATGTATGTAATGTTTACTGATCATATTATGACAAAATAGTTTGACTTATTTATTGCGCCTTATATACATATTTATTTCATAACCAGGACGTCTAACTTCTGTAGAATCTTTCAAAGGGTTTAAACAGTATTCACAAGTAATGTTGAAGAAATTCTTAAAGTGAGGTAGAAATGTAACAGAAATGTAACAAAGCAGATCTAATCTCTGTCTTTTCAATAAATGAGTTAAAATCTAGTAGTCTTTTTTCTATTGCATCGGTCAGTTTGCAACGTGGTAGATGAATGGTTCTTGTCCTAAAACCTGATTTCAGTGAAGTAGCATTAAAGTTCTCCATTATAATACAACTGTAAAAGCACGATGCCTTGTCAATCAAATAAACATTAACCAAAGTACTATTACCATTATTTTAAGTCGCATATTAGTATTTCTCGTGATCTTTTCCATTTACATAACTGAACTAGTTCCAAAACATATTATCAAAACTTAGACAAAATGATTTTTGTTGACTGAAATTTAACTGCTTCTCACTATATACAGAGATGACGATTGTAGTTGGAAAAAAACAGTAAAGGCTATGAAATGCCAAATCACCAGGTTAAAAGCTTCAGTAAGTCAGACTTTTTTGTTTACATTCAATCATGAATTCCGTACAGATAGTTTAATCCACAAATAAAAGTCGATTTAGTCTCTATTTAATTACTGGTTTTGATTATGTTTGAAAATATTTGCAAGTTAGAAAGAGAAACTCAAAATTTCATAAATTAATCTTATACTTTAACAATTATCGATCGGTTTATGCTCTTGGATTATACTTTACCAAATGGACATGGTGATTAATTACTCAACCGTTTTAAAATATAATTTATACTACTTTTATAAAAAGAGCATTATAAGAATCCAATTACTTTTAAAAACTTACGTTTACACTCATTAGCTGACTCAGAAGTACCTCTTGCCCACGGTCTATCTAAATAACCAGGTGAACAACGTTCACAATCAGTTCCTTCTGTATTATGTTGGCAATCACATCTAAGGGGCCCCCACTGAGATTTTGTCTGACCATTATTATCTGTTGTTATTGCTGTACCAACTATTCGATCTCTGACACAACGGTTAGCGTGTCCATTACACTTACACCGACCACCGATAGATAAATCAGAGAAAGAAAAGTGAACAGGTGTTTTACTTTCAGGTGTTTTTGAATAGTGCATATCAGACTGATATAGATGTTGTGACATATCCAGTGTACCTGCCTCGGACAATACAGGATTTGTACCATAACCACCAATACCAGGATTGCCACTAACACGAAATACATTTGTTTGTTTTAGTAAACTTGGGTTTAGAAATAGTCCATTTGAGTCATATTGAACTTCGTCTCGATATTCCGGAAATCGCATAAGACTTATTCTTAAATCCGTCATAGTCATCCAGTCGATCAGTGCTGAACTCCACGGTTGCATTGATGGTCGTCCAATAGTTGTACTAAATGCGATAACATTTGATGATCGTCCTGAATTATCATGTACATCTTGTGATTTTAAAGCAACGCATAAAACTTCTTGTATGTTTGCTAAAGAGATTTGTGCATTATGCTCATTACTGGTAGGCAAATGAAAAGCTCGATAACAATCAGTTGAGAAATATTGCCATGGTTTCCATGTTACACCAAAATCAGATGACTTATATAAAGCAATTGAATCAGGCAATTGACCACAAGGTTGCAAAGAAATATAGTAAACTTCAAAACGTTTACCTAGTGATAAAGTTAGATTTACTGTATCACCTGGTAAAACAGATCCTGAAATCCAACATGTTTCATTATTCATTTGATGTCTATCAGTTAATAAGTGTGTTCCAAATTTCTCACCTTTACCACATGTTTCACATTTTTCATGTCCCATTACATATCTACATATTTCTTCTGATTGATCAAATTGACCACATGTTGAAGTTGCTTTAATATCAACACTTTCAGCAATATTTGTAAATGGTGGAGAACATTCAATTGCTTGACCTTTATTATAACATACAGATCTTGTCGCTTCATAAATAACTTTAATATTGGAATCTTTTTCTTCAGTATAATGTTTTTGATTTAAATCAGAATGAGGATTTAAATTGTTTGCATGAATACAAATATTACTGAAAGAAAATGTTATCCAACTGATTATCAAAATAGGCAACATGAGTTATTCTCTTGAGTAATATCAATTTCACAAAAGAATTAAAGATATTTTGTTGTGAATGTATCAATTCTGATTTATATTAACAAATTTTTATATGAATCCTTTCTCTATTAGTAATTATGATGATGATTTGATATAATGGGCATTTTAATGATGGATACAACCAATGATACTTTTTTTTGTTTATTGCTAGTTAATTATTTCCTTTCTGTATTCAATAAAACAGTGTAAAAGAACAAGCAAACAAATAAACGAAATAAACTAAATAAAATAAAACTAAGAATATTCCTTTAACAAATAAGAATTCATTTACATAAATATAATTTTAAGAAATAAACCAACTTTATCAATATTATCATTCGTCATCAAAATTTAGGTTCTATGTTAACAAAACTGAAATTTGATTGGTTAATCAAAATGGTTAATAAAAATTTCAACACAATAGGGTAAAGAGAAGGGGGATGGGGCTAATTATATCTATGATAGGATAAAATTTATTTAAATAAACGATTGAGGATGAATAAAATTAAATTAAACTCTTAAATGAAAGCACATTTAAAATCAAAATAGTAAATGATTAAATTATATAAATTAATTTAAAATTTATATATTGAACTTTCATTTAATTGAACAGTATTCTCATTTATATTATTTAAATATATTTAAAGAAATAATTTGATTTCTACTCAACAACAACAACAACAACCATTTAAAACATTCTGAAAAATTTATACTGTAAAAAAAGTGAATTTATTTTAAGAAAAAAATTGTTGTTGAAGCCCCCCCCCCTCAATAAATGGATAATAACAAAATCTATACTGATAGAAATATGTCTGATTTCATGCTGTGAATAACTTGATAATAAGAATGAATTATAAATAAGAACTTTCGTCTAAATTTGAACGAATAGTTTCACAATATTTGGGCACCAAGTTAATGTGAGTCATTAAAGAGGAATAATATATATATTTGTAAAATGAATTATAATTGGTAAATGAAATCATCAAATTATTATATCGGATAACAAGTTTTAAGATTCATAAATAGAATATATATGTATATATACCAAATTTCTCAGGAAATTTTTGATTGTTTTATTTTGTTACTAATATGTGACTGATTTAGATGTAAAATCTAACTATAATTTAAAAAAAAGATCAAGTTCAAGTAATTCTATGATCCAGATTTTGATTTGTATGAAAAAATATGGCTGATCAGAATTTGGAAGAGGAATTTTTAATGATTTCTAAGAATTTGTAATCGATTTTAAACTTTATACTACATCATTTTATAATGAATTGAAAGATTGACAAGTATAGATGAGGTTTTAACAGATTATAATAGTATAATATCATTACCTGCGGTAATTGTCACTGCATTTGCCGATATCTGAAGCTAAATATTATATATACTATTAATAGAAAAGCTGAAGAATTGCAGAATTTTCTCAAATTCATTAAACAAATATGAGATAGTCTTTCTTGAACCTTGGATACCTAGCAAATGTAAACCTTTGACCGGTAGATGGACAGAGTCGATCATAAGATTAAAATGAATGGCATATGGTTAATATTTCCTTTAAGGAATCTATAATTTCCTTAACCGAACTCCATAGTAAAACAGACACAAACGAGTCAGAAGTCTAGGTATCAAATAAGAATGTCATCCAAGATTTTTGATGTTTGTTCAATGAATAATGACCTACAACAACATAAAATTCAAAGACTTCGGACTTGACACAATGATATTTTAATATTGAAGACCACTATTCAGTGAGTTCAGTCATTTAAGTGGGTTTGTTAATCATCAAAAACTGTAAAAACGTACATTGTATTCTACATTCAACTAGTAGTAGTATAACAATATGTATATCATGAATGCAGACGAAACTAAGTCAAGCTATACTCTGTGATGAACAAAGACATTCCTAATTCTCATCCAGTTTACGTAATATATGTTATCATTTCTTATTTGCCTAATTATCGTACGATATATACATTTATATAGCTTCAGGCAATGAAATTTCTGATAATCAGTAAAACTTTTCGTATCTGAAATTCTGTTTTGCTTTCAAAGCTTTTGTTTACTTACACAACAATTTATTTAGCCTCTGAAAAGCAAAATAATATTTCTAGATTTTGTAATAGTTAAGGATTCATTAACTGCCTACTTAAAATGCAAAAAGGTAGTATGAAATAAATTCTTTTCAAAAGATTTCCCACAATGTTTTTTGTAAATGTTTCGCATACAATTATTCTAAATTTGATTCAGACATAAAAGAGTAAGAAATTAACATATTCATCATCACTCTCTATTAATTAGGTTTTCACTCACTCACTCACTCATAGTCTCCTTCTGTCTTTCACTAGTTTCTGAATTCATTTGATGACATCAAACATTCACTTTCTAGAATTATATGTACTCTCAGTTAACATTAATTAATATAAGATGATTTCCTGGAGTTCTAGTGAGAAGCCATGACCAGTGGAGGCCAATCCGTGTCGGGTAGAGACAGACGTTCACCTCTGACAATCGATGAATGGTTCCGCAAGATCGATTGAAGTTAGACATTAACACTGTTGGATGCCGGCTCAACGGTCTAGAAGTTAGATGTTCGTGCGCGAAACCGAATGTCCTGGGTTCGAGTCTCACATACAGGATTGTGGGTGCGCACTGATGAGTGGTCATATACTGGAATGAGACTGCCGTCCAGTGGTGCTAGGTTTTCAGTGATGGTCAAGCTTAAATGAACTCATGAATTCGACTATTAAAATACTAGTTTTGTCAAAATGTTCGTGTTTAGATTTAGTCTGTAATATACAAACGCAAAGTACCATAATCTTTTTCCGACTACTACAGGACTGAGTAATAAACTAATGAATAATTTAGCAAGATCTTTTGTATAATTAGAAGTACAAGTGTTGTATAAAGAAGATTATTTTATACAGTAACTATATGTTAGTTCATATTATTGAATTCATTCATGAAAATACAATTAACGGGTCTTTAAATTGTTCTAAACAGATACGTTTACGTTCTGTTTTCAAGCTTCTAGCATGGGAAGCTTTTCTCATGATAACTTGTTTTTATAAAATGAATTCTCTCGTATAATTGGTGATCAATGAAATAATTTAGGCTTCGACTCGCCTTTATTGTTAAAATGGATATTATTCATGCTGGATTTATAGTGCTATCTAAGTGCTTATGGAGATATAAAAATCGACTGAAATTTGGTATATCAAACGCTTTGACAGGAAAATTCTGGATACGAAATACGGACGAAATAATGTTCATCTTTATGTAGAACGTAGCTTTGTTTCTGTAAGTGACTAATATTTTCAGATTCGAGGACTACAGTGAAGTTGCCGCCTATGATAGCAAAAAGAAATCACATCAGGTAGTTGCCATAACTACGAAATTGACGGTGACAGAGACAGGAACATTTTTAAAATTAGGTTGCAAAATATTTAATGTGAGCATGTAAAATAACCTTAAAAGTAATTACATATACGTAAATCAAACTATTACATTCAGCTATAGTAATTCATTTATCCTTTTGTTTGAAGCATGAAAGAGAAATCCTAGGCGTAGATTAATGCTGAATAAAAATTATGTCAGAACTTTTGATAGGATTATCTTACTTCATATATTTTAGAAGAGAAATGTTTTCAACATCGTGTTCTAATTCGGATGCATAAATAAGAAGAAAATCAGTGAAATTTATGATATACATATTAATTGGCTAATGTTCTATCAAATTCAAGCGACATTGGAAACAAAAAACCACGGTGTGGGAGTGGAAGCAATAGTAGGGAAGTACACAAAGATTAAGTATGTTAGTAACAGAGTAAATAACGAGAAAAAATCATTATGTTTATTATTTATAATTAGTCAGAGAGTGAATATATCTCTCTATGTACAAGGGTTTCTCTTTATGTCATTTTTACAAATCTTAATGAGGAGCAAAGATGAATAGTAGCTAGCAGTGTAATCCAGGACTCACGTTTCGTCCTTTTTGGGACTCGTCAGCTGGATCCACCTAACACGACTTAGTAGCTAAGTGGGTAACGCAATGGCTTATGGAGCGAACGCTAATGGCTCCTAGTCCCGGAGTATACATCAACCCTGGGATGCAGGTACATCTAGTCGTCCTGCCTACAAGTCCTAAATAGGAGGAAACGAGCGTCCTGGATTCCAGTTCTAGCCACCATCCATCTTCGCTTATAATGGTTATGACTTAAGGCAATATCGAGGCGATTCACACAGGATGCACATATACCATAAGAGGCCGATCAGTTGCAGTCCTAAATATCAATAGGAAGATCCAAAAAAATAATACAGAATGATCTTAAGGAGAAACACTTAATTACCGATCTTTTACAAATCTTTGATTAGTAACTACATTTGGCAGATTCAACCAAACTATACTTTCTTTTTTTTTAATTTCTGTGCTGACCAGCTTCTGACATCTCATAAATCACTAGCTTAATGCACTTAATGTTTTCTAGACACAAGTTCAGAAATAAGTTCGTAACCACACTGACAAAATTAATTTCTTTATTTAACATTCTATCCCAGTTATACATTGATTGTTTTTAAGTCAATGATGTTTGAAATGTGATTTGAAATGATCAAAAAAAGATATCTATAATCGTATGTTTTTATGATACGTTTTATTATAATGCTCTTTTATCCTTTCATTTCTATCTCAACCAGTCGCTTATGTTAAGATGATTGTTTTCAACAGTAGCATTTGTAAACAAAATTTAATTTTGTTTATAATCAAAGTTTTTCTGTATCCTATGTTACATAAGTCACAATGTCTATCCTACATCTAGGTAAATTTCATCAGCTACTTCTGATCTTCTGTGATTTATATTTATTTCATAGATCAGAGTAATTAACAAATATTATTAATCTTGAAGGACCTTACTGGATGGTCATACATCAAAAGAGTATTTCGTAAAATATAACTGAACAGATTGAGAAAAAAAGAACAG